ATACATCTCCTCCTACATGTCTCTGCGTGAGTGCAGCTACAGCGTGCACTCTCAGAACATTATTACATGCAGTGTCCCCTCAGTGCGGACTGAACTTGGCAAAAGGGTCTTCTCCTACTCCACTCCTGTTTCCTGGAATATCTTGCAAAATGATCTGAAGCTCTCGACCTTGACCTCTCTAAGTGACTTGAAAACATCTGTTAAGTTACTGGCAAAAACCAATGCAGACAAGTTCCTGTTTTTAGTTTTCTACACCGCCGTTCAACCTAGCTGTTTTTTTTGCTACTATTTCCTTTTGACTGTCCTTTTCATTGCCACTTTATTTCAACTTGTAAAAATAAATAAATACATTTGTATGCCTCTTTTATGATTGTCTATTGTTGTCGTTATTAACTGTTGTTATCAATCTTTGTTAAAAAAAATCAGGTCTCTCTATTAAATGATCAGATAACACTCTTCTTCGACCCAGTGTAACTCCTTCCTCTTGAATATTTTGCACCAACAACATGAAGGTTTACTTTAATTACCTGTTCAGACTCAGTCCAGTCCATTGAAATCCCTCAGCCACGGGAGACGCGTGTCGCTTGTTGTATCTCACAGATAAATGAGATCAAATGAGCAGGTCAGACAGACTCGACAGTTTGAGTCTGGCTCATCCCTGGATGTTCTACTTCACATATATTTTGTAATTGTTCAAATCAACAAGGCAGGACTTCCTTTCTTTCTTGTCTTTTTGCCATGACTTAACACACATGTTGACTGTATACATTTAGTCACAAACAAACCAAACATTACAGAATCCAGTCATAGAAAAGTTGCAAGGCGAGTAAATAATCTTTATTTTATTTTATTTTTTTCATTGGCTGCTCTTTTCTTCATGGGTCGCCACAGCGAACTAACTCGCACGAAGACTTGGCAATTGTTTTTTACACTGGATGCCCTTCATGACACAACCACAGACCACTGAGCTACCACAGCCCTCTGTGTGGAGCAGAGAGTTGCTATCTAGGGCACCCGGGGGAGCAGATGGTGGGGGGTTAAGGGCCTTGCTCAAGGCCAAAAGTGGGACAAATGAAGGTGGTGGCAGGTGTGGGTGTTTCACCTTTCCCACCCACATTTTGATGTTGTTGATCCGGGAGATCAATCCGGCGACCTTTCAATTTCATGCTCTCAATTCAGTGTATTTATATAGCACCAAATCACAACAAAGTTGTCTCAGGGTACTTTACAGAAACATTCACATACATAGAAAAGCCAATTAGTAAAGTTCTCTATCTAAGGAATCCAGCAGACAAGTTGAATCTTGGCTTCGTTGCAGTCTCCCATCCTGAACAAGCACAGAGGCAACAGTGGAAAGGAAAAACTCCCTTTTAAAAGGAAGAAACCTCCAGAAGAACCAGGCTCAGGACAATTGGCCATCTGCTTTGACCGACTGGTTTGAGAGGACAGAAAGGAGAGACAAACACAGAATGGCAGGTCCAGGTGTATCTGAAAGACAAAAACACATGTTAAGGATAGAAAAAATAATTACAAATTCAAAACAGGTTGAGCAGAGTAAGTAAAGACAGTAGCAGAGAGAAAAAGTGTGGCCAGTTTGTCCTCCAGCAGTCTAAGCCTATAGCAGCATAACCAAGGGACAGCTCAGGAAACCCAAGCCGACCCTAACTATAGGATTTAGCAAAAAGGAAAGTCTTAAGCCTAGTTTTAAAACTGGATAATGTGTCAGCCTCACGGACAGAGATTGGAAGTTGGTTACACAAGAGAGGAGCCTGATAACTGAAAGATCTGCCTCCCATTCTGTTTTTGTAAATTCTAGGAACCTCAAGTAAACCTGCAGTCTGAGAGCGAAGTGCTCTGTTAGGAAAAGATGGAACAATAAGATCTGTAATATAAGATGGAGCCAGGTTGTTGAGAGCTTTGCAGGTTAGAAGTAAGATTTTGAATTCTATTCTGGATTTGACAGGGAGCCAATGGAGAGAAGCTAAAACTGAAGAGATATGATCTCTCTTACTAACTCCAGTTAAGACTCTGGCAGCAGCATTTTGGATCAACTGAAGACGTTTTAAAGAATATTTGGACATCCAGATAATAAACCATTGCAATAGTCCAGTCTAGACGTGACAAATGCATGAACCAGTTTTTCTGCATCATTTTTAGATAAGATGTTTCTAATTTTAGTGATATTATGCAGATGGAAAAAGGCAGTTCTAGTAACGTTTTTAATGTGGGGGATAAAAGATATGTCCTGATCAAAAATAACACCAAGATTTTTAACATTAGAGCTGGAGGCCAGATTAATGCCATCTAAGGAGGGAGAAATAACTTCTGCACCACCACTCTCCCAGTCCCTAAGATCAGACTTAACCCAGGTGCTGTTTCTGTTTTGCTCCTCTGCTCCCTCAGGACTTCACTATGACTTTGTATCTGAGGCATTACTGGAAGGACGAGAGGTTAGCCTTTCCAAGTGCCACCAACAAGAGCATGACGTTTGACGGGCGCCTGGTGAAAAAAATTTGGGTGCCTGATGTGTTTTTTGTCCATTCCAAGAGGTCCTTTATCCACGACACCACCACTGAGAACATAATGCTGAGGGTCTTCCCAGATGGACATGTCTTGTACAGTCTAAGGTAAAGACAGTAACCAGGTTTCAATGCACCCAGTGTGAAGCAGGTATGGTTCAGTCACTTCTTGTGTTCTCTGCAGGGTAACTGTTACTGCTGCCTGCAACATGGACTTCAGTCGTTTCCCCCTGGACTCACAGACGTGTACACTAGAGCTGGAGAGTTGTAAGTTGAGAGGATCTGTGTGTGATTCTTGTGTCATCTGTCCTGCCCTCCTCAGTGTTTCTCCCTCATGTGATCAGCTCTTGTCTCGGTCACCTGTTGTCCTTCCCCAGGTCTTTGTGTTCATCCCTTCATTAGTATATTTATATATTCTGTTTCCTTGTTGTTTCCCTGTCTGTGGATTGTCCTCTTTGGCATCATATTTCTGTTTTCCCCCGTGTCTCTTTATTACACTCTGTGGGTGAGTTTTGGCTGCCACATCAGTCCTTTCTGTTTATTTAAATAATGAGTATTTTACTTTACTCCTAAGTTCTGCCTGCGTTTGGGTTCAAACAAGTGCAGATCATGATATGAGTATATGGCCTGAATTAGATACAGCAGTCCCTCTGTAGCGGTACTCTGGTTCCTTTTGTGTCTTCTGTACCATCTTTAGAAGTCAGTCCAGCAACAAGTATTTGAAACGCGAGAGAGACCAAATAATTTTCAAAAGGTGAGGTTTAATGAAAAACAAAATAAAATGGTAAAATTCGGTCAAAAAAACTGTGTTGCTTCCAGCATGTCTGACTTCTCAGCAAGCTTATACACATACAAAAAAAATAAAAAATTGTCTTAGAAAATTACAGTGTGAAGGAAGCCAAAAATACCAGAATACGCATTAGAAATGTAAATTTTTATATTCTATGCTTTTAATGTGTTTGTAAATTTAAATAAAATAATAATTTTAACAACAAAAATGTATATATTTTCTCCTTTTAAATATTTAGCTAATACCAATAAATTAGCCACAAATTGGCTCTTACACACTCGTTACTTCGCGGTTCATTTTTCGCCGACTCACTCTTTCACGGTTTTTCATGTCACACAATTGGCTGATTGATAGATGAGCCACACGAAATGCATGGAATTTTTATTTAAAATAAATTGTTTTTGAATTATTTAGCACCTGCTGCACCTTTGTGCAGCCCACACTGCAGGATAAACTTCCTCCTGTAGCATGTCATATCTCCGCTCTGCAGCTGAGAAGTGGGCGTGGCCGAGAGCACTTATCGAGGATCTTCAGGGTACGGATCCTCCAGCAATAAACAAGGGACTACTGTACTTCCAATTATTAAAGACTCTGTGAATTATGGGAATACAGGTATTATCGTTCTACTCCACACTGACTGAAATCAGTCATTTGAAATTTAACATTAAAACCTGATCTGTTTAATTCTGTGCTTCACATTGCTGCACCGGACCAGTCCGATAGACGCTGTAGGAGAGATGTAGCCATTTTCACCAACTTGAAAATAACAATATGCACAGTAAATGAACTGTACTTATATAGCGCCTTTCTATCTGATCAAGACACTCAAAGTGCTTTACACAACAATCTGTGCCTCATTTACCCATTCATACAGCACTCTACTAGATCTCTACAAAGCTAATTGAACAAATCATTCTAAAGAGACTAATCAGAGCTTTATCACATTCATACACCGATGGGACACACATCAGAGGAAATGAGGGTTCAGTGTCTTGCCCAGGGACACTTCGGCATGTGACTGCTGGTGGATTCAAACCCCCAACTCTTGCATTGGAGGACGACTGCTCTAACTACTCAGCCACAGCCGCCCGTCAGTCTCATGCAGATGTCAGCTGAAGGATATGTGTTGGAGATGAGGCTCAGCTACTACCACACCAGCATTTAGCCTGACATCTGCTAAACTGACCTAGCTAAACACTTTGTGTTAGCTGAAGTTGATGTTTAGATCAGTGTCTGTAAGGTTTACTGAACTGCAGCCATGTTGGGGTTTTTTAAAGTCAGTTGTCTATGGCAGACATTTTTAATTATTTTGACTCCAGAAATTAATCAGTTGTAAATATTCATCCAATACTTACTTCAGATAATTTCATTAAAATCCATCTTGCAATACTCAAGATTCAAAAAGCGTTCAATACAAAAACAACTGGACTTTATTTGTAACAGAAGACGTTTCGCTCCTCATCCGAGGAGCTTTCTCAATTCAAAGAGCAGAGAGTGAGAGATACAGGTTATAAGGCTGAGTGAGATAAGACACACACCCACATAAGACACACACACACACGCACATATATGTAGATTGGCAGTTCACACCTAAAACCTAAAACAGTAGGTCATTGTTCCTCTAATTCACAGACGAGGCCCCTCTGTTCCCATCAGGTGTGAAAACCGGCTGGGAATCTGTTTTAAAGTTGCATTATATGTTTTTGAAAGTGGGAATCTGAGGCCTCCTCCTCTGTTAAGAGATGGTTTTTCTCTTTTTACATAAATTGCTTCCTTCACCCCCCTCTCAAACCATCTGTGTTCTCGGTCCAAAATGTGCACATTTTGGTCCTCAAAAGATGGAGGTGAACAGCTGAGTCTTGTCCTGTGGAGCTGGCTCTCCTGTGTTGAGTCATGCGTCTGTGAAGAGGCTGTTTAGTTTCTCCAATGTAGAGGTCTGGACAGTCCTCGCTGCACTGGACCGCATACACTACACCACTCTGTTTGTGTATGGGTGTCTTGTCCTTAGGGTGGACCAGCCTCTGTCTGAGGGTCCTGCTGGGTTTGAAATGTACTGGGATGTTGTGTTTGTTGAAGATCCTTCTGAATTTCTCTGATACTCCAGCAACATAAGGGATGACAATGTTTTTACGTCTGTTGTTCTCCTTTTTCAGTTTATTGGTGTGTTTTGTAGATTTCCTCGCTGACTTGACAAAAGCCCAGTTAAGATATCCACATGTTAGAAGAGCTTCTTGAATGTGTTTCAGTTCCTTTTCCTTCCCTTCTGTCCTTGTGGGGACGCATTCGGCCCGATGTTGTAAAGTTCTGATGACAGAGAGTTTGTGTTCCAGTGGATGGTGGGAGTCAAACAGAAGATACTGGTCTGTGTGGGTTGGTTTCCTGTACACTTCAATGTTGAGGCTGTCCTCTCTCTCCATCTGAACCAAACAGTCCAAAAAAGGCAAGTTGTTGTCGTTTGCATCCTCTCTGGTGAACTTGATGTTGTTATCGACCGAGTTAATGTGTTAAAGAGTTAAGGAGCGAAACGTCTTCTGTTACAAATAAAGTCCAGTTGTTTTTGTATTGAACGCTTTTTGAATTCATCATGTCCTGGATGACTGAGAATCTTCACCAGCATAATACTCAAGATGTTTTGCCAACAGACGGAGAGAATTCATTCTAATAGTTTATTGTAACAGTTTTAAGAAAATATTTGCTTAAACTGTGAATGTGTTGGGAATCAGTTTCATCTACTAACACTGGTGGCTCAGTATCTGTAAAACTAAGCTGGAGCCATTTTGGTGTTTTGTCAGTTGGCTCTGGCAGCCATCTTGAATTGGATTGACTCCAAAAGTTAATCAATTGTAGGTAAAGAACAGATGATTACTGGTGGTGCAATTAGTAGAGCTGTCGCTTCTCAGCAAGATGGTTGCCGGTTCAAATCCCAGCCGGGAACCTTTCTGGGTGGAGTTTACATGTTCTCTCTGTGCTTGCGTGGGTTTCCTCCAGTTAGATCTGGTTTATTTGTCATATGCAAATCAACACAACAAGGTCAACAATGCAAATGCTGAGGACGAGAAGAACCGTCTCGACTCACCAAATAAAAAACAAACAACAAATACCAAAGCATGCAACAAAAATATTGAAACAAGGCACTAAAAATGAAAAAGAAATACATCTACAGCAGCATGGTCCTATTAGCAGAGTGGTTTTGTTAGTGGTGTAGTCTTGTTAGCAGCTTGATGATGATAAGGACCGCAGCAGCTGCCCTCCAGAACCGGATCCGGCAGACAGAGAATATCGAAGGTTTTCCCGTGGGACCGAACAGGTCTGTAGAGTTCAGACCATGCAGGCAGATGGAGGAATATGGAGATGGCTGCCATGACAGGCCTGAGCCTGAGACAGAGGCTGGAAGGGGGCTGAGAACTCAACCATGATGGCACGGTGACAAGGCAGTGATGCACAAAACTCCAAAAGTGTGTCGCGTCATACCTGTAGTGTGGGCGTTACTCAGGTACTCCAGTTTCCTCCCACAGACCAAAAACATGCATGTTAGACTGAATGGTAACTGTAAATTGTCTCTAGATGTGAATGAGAGAGTGAATGTTTGTCTCATTTGTCTCTGTGATGGACTGGAGACCTGTCCAGGGTGTCCCCCGCCTCTCGCACAGTGACTGCTGGATGGGCACCCAGAAAGGAAGAAGCGGTAAAGATGATGGATGGATGGACTCAGTCATTATTAGTTAACAGTTACCACACATTCATTCAACCTTTATTTCTACAGGTTAATCCCATTGAGCCTCGGGAGCTCATTTACAAGAGAGACCTGAATGCAGAACAGTTTTCTTGTGCTTCAGCTGCAAAACAGCCTCAGAAAAGTTTATTCTTTTTTAAATGACTGAGCCAAGAAGCTCAAGCTTTGGTTTGATCTTAGGTTTCTTTCACATTTCTCATCCTGCTGGCAAACCCAGCAGCAAGTTTTCTTGTCCCTGTGTCCCAGTTGGGTCCATCTGAATGCTGCTGTCAGATTGTGTTTGACAATCAGAAACAGTAGATGTGAATGTGGACGGTGGATCTGGAGGAATGCAGTTAAATAGTTTCCAGTCTTCACCCTTCACTGACTTCATTGCATGAGCAGAAAGCACCACTCTAGTAGGTCTCCCAGTGTTCTGTTGCCACCTATTGGTTTTTAATGGATATTACACATTAAAATAAATCCACTGAGATTAATTTGGTCCATAGAACAGATTTTGAGCTTCAGTATACAAAATTAATACAGAATTGAACTGACTCTAAAAAAGGTAATAAGTTTTACAGATTTGAGCTACCACCTCACCAAAGAGCTCTACATTTGTACAAATGAACGAGATGGATCAATTTTTCTTTTGCTAAGTTCTTTCAGCTGAGGCGGCCGTCTCATATCAGCAAACACAGTTGTATTAGTTGTTCCACAAATGAGAACCAAACGCAGTGAAGCTTTAAGTTTTTATGTCCCTCACATTTGGAACAAACTGCCGCAGACTTGAGCCTGATCTGAACATATTTAACACATTTGCTATTGCTTTTAACTGATGAATTTTTTCATTAATTCATTCATTCATTCAACCTTTATTTAAATAGATAAATCACATTGAGCCTCGAAGACTCATTTACAAGTGAGACCTGTTTGGACAGACAAAAACAGTGGTTATTTGGACACATGTAGGAGTTGGAGGCGAAAAAAATCCTATCAGACTTTTTTCTTGGCCGAGAAAAACCCCTAATATTGAAAAAATACCTCGCACAAACAAGCACATATTTACGTAGACATTCTGCCATCAGAGACGAGAGCGATCAACAACGCTTATAGATGCTCTCGAGGTCACTGTAATCAGTCAATGTCCTCCGGTGAGATCCATAAACATTCTCAAGGTATGTCGAGAAATAGCCAAGGATAACCTCTATAAGAATCCAGAGTCCTGAAATGATGACAAAGTTTTTTCAGCAGGGCTTCATCTGGTTATCAGTTGGAAATTCCTCAGGGAGGGGATGGTGAGCGTCAAATCACGTTTTCTCCAGGCGACTTTAGATAAGATGGCCTTCAAGGACAGCCAAGGCGACCAAAATTTAGATAAACACACAGTTGTTTTGGGGACAGGCAGAACCTAATGACATCAACCTTCAGTCTGTGTCGGTCTACTCGGTTCCGAAATGTCCAAATTAACATGGCCACACCGATGGAAATGTGTCCGAGTAAAAATCCCCAAGATCTGATCCATTCAGCCCAAAGCATTTGAGTCCGGGTACTCCAGACATGAACCAAGCCATCATAAAGGCAAGCAGCGTGATTGGGTCCAAATTTGCTGCTGACGACTTCCTTGATTGTAGATAAAACCAGCACCAGCTGAATCCAAAAAGCAGGAACCAGTTATCAAAAATCCAATTAAATGAGTCCTTAAAATCCACAGATGGCAGCAGAGATAGACACATCATCAAGTTTTCCAGTCGATGAGATATCCAGCTGCGTACGTGCCAACAGGGTAAATCGGCTCGCCCAAAGCCTGTCTTCTCTTCGAAGAAATGTTGTAAATTGAGATGAGGGACCAACTGGTCGAAACAAGTCCATAATTATGGTTCGGAAGAAATGCAAGAGAGTCTCACAGCAATTTCACAGACAGACAGAGCAGCAAAGCAAAGTGGAGAGGGAGAGAAGCATCCGATCTCGTGGGGAGCGAGTGGTGAAGTGATGGATGGATTTTAAAATATTCAGTACACATCCATCCATCCATTATCTTTTATCCGCTGCTTCCATTTTGGGTCATGGGGGTTGCCGGTGCCCATGTAAAATTGAACGGAAATTGAACACCATGTCTGTGGACGCCCACCTGGTGCGCTGGATATCGGACTCTCTGACCAACAGGCCCCAGTTTGTCCGAGTTGGGGGTTGTAGGTCCTCAACTTTGATCAGCAGTACTGGAGCACCTCAGGGTACAGTGCTCTCACCCCTCCTCTTCACTCTCTACACCACTGACTTTCAGTACAACTCTGATACATGCCACATGCAGAAGTTCTCTGATGACACTGCTATTGTGGCATGTATTAGGGAGGGGGAGGAGGGGAGTACAGGGGTCTGGTGAAGGACTTTGTTGGGTGGTCCCATCAGAACCAGCTTTTGCTGAATACCACTAAAACCAAAGAGGTGGTGTTGGATTTCCGCAGAGCTCCACCCTCTTTGCAGCCCATTGTTATTGAAGGATCGGAAATTGAGGTGGTCTCAGCCTATAAATATCTGGGGCTACAGCTGGACAACAAGCTGAACTGGACTGCTAATATGGATGCTGTGTACAAGAAGGGGCTGAGCAGAATGTATTTGCTCAGAAGGATGGCCTCTTTCAGGGTCTGTTCTAAGTTATTGCATATGTTCTACCAATCCATTGTGTCCAGTATACTTTTTTTTGGTGTTGTGTGTTGGGGTGGCAGCACTAGGAAGATGGACATTCGAAAGCTGAATAGGCTCATTAAGAAGGCGGGCTCTGTGGTGGGTCTGGGCCTTGACTCTGTGGAGAAGGTGGTGGAGCACAGGACTCACTCCAAGATCAGGGCGATCATGTCCAATCAGGGCCACCCCTTGTACTCTGTCTTCTCTAACCAGCAAAGTTCACTGAGCTCTAGACTCCGTTCACTGAGGTGTTCTACTGAGAGACTAAAGAAGTCGTTTGTCCCTTGTGCCATCAGGCTGTATAATTCGGCCAATCCTGGCAGGAACCAGAGAAGCTAGCTATTTTTTTTTGTCCCCTAACATAGTTGCTGCTTTATCTCTTCTTGGGTTGCTTGTTTAATTATCAATCTTTTTTAATACTAGGCTTTTATTATTTATTAATGTTATGTGTGTATGTATATATGTGTATGTGTATATATGTATATATATGTATGTTTGTGTGTATATGTGTATGTATATGTATATGTATGTATATGTGCATATATGTATATGTATGTATATGTGCATATATGTATATGTATGTATGTATATATATATGTATGTATGTATGTATATATATATAATTTTATTTATTTTTTAATTCTGGTGTGTTTTTATCTTGTTGTTTGTGTGTATGAGAGCTACAGATCGCCATGTAATTTCCTTCGGGACCAATAAAGTATCTATCTATCTATCTATCTATCTATCTGTCTATCTGTCTATCTGTCTATCTGTCTGTCTGTCTATCTGTCTATCTGTCTGTCTGTCTATCTGTCTATCTGTCTATCTGTCTATCTGTCTGTCTGTCTGTCTATCTGTCTATCTGTCTATCTATCTATGTATGTATGTATGTATGTATGTATGTCCACCAATCACTGTGCGAGGGGCGTGGGACACGCTGGACAGGTCGCAAGTCCATCACAAGAACACATAGAGACAAATAACCATTCACTCTTTCACTCACACCTAGAGACAGTTTAGAGTTACCAATCAGCCTAACATGCATGTTTTTAGTCTGTGGGAGGAAACCAGAGTACCGGGAGAAAACCCACGCATGCACAGAGAGAACATGCAGACTCCACCCAGAAAGGCCTCCAGACTGGGATTTGAACCGGGGACCTGCTCGCTGAGAGGCAGCAGCTCTACCAGTTGCGCTACCATGCCGCCATGGTCAAAACATGTATATATATAAAAAAAAATTACCCTCATAAAAATTTTTTTCAAATTTTTACAAAAGTATTCATACAAAACTTTTAATAGGGGTACTGTTTTTATAATACGTGAACTTTTCATGCCAAAAAACTATTGGAACTAGAAGGCAACATTGTGGCTCTGGTGTTGGGTTGAATTTTGGTTCTGTTTGCTGGAAGGAGGAACAACAAAAATGTTTGTAGCTGGTCCTTGTTAGAAGTTGACTTTTGGTCCTTTTTGTTAGTAAAAAGATATAACCACAGATCCAAAAACATTGCTCTCTCCATGCTCTTTCTGCTTTCAGATGCTTACACAGATGAGGACCTGATGCTGTACTGGAAAAGTGGTGATGAGTCCCTGAGCACAGACGACAGGATCTCTTTGTCTCAGTTCCTCATTCAGAAGTTTCACACTACCTCCAGACTGGCTTTCTACAGCAGTACAGGTGGGAGGGGGGCAAAACAAACATCAGCATGTATACATGACATACTCATACATTTGGCTACAGCACTGATGTAACTAAGAAACTCAAGAGTAACCATGATAAATGGAGGCATCAAATCAACTCTTATCCATCCTTCCATTATCCTTTACCCGCTTCTTCCTTTTTGTCACTGGGGTCAGCAGTCACTCTGCGAGAGGCGAGGGACACCCTGGACAGGTCTCCAGTCCATCACAGAGGCAAACGAGAAAAACAACCATTCACTCTCTCACTCACATATAGGTACAATTTAGCGTTACCAATCAGCCTAACATGAATGTTTTTGGTCTGTGGGAAACTGGAGTACCCAGAGAAAACCCACACATGCACAGCAAAATTTTTTTGACAACCAAAATATAAAAATGTATTATGGTATATATATGTATATATA